CATGAATTTTTTTATAAAAAAAATTGTTCATTTATTTAGGAAACTAAGGTAACGATAATTGTTAATAAACGAAAAATATCTAATATCACACATTTTTTGTTAATAAACGAAAAAATATATACCTTTCAATACACAAATAGTGTAAAGGTAATGAGAATATTTTTTTTTGGTATAAACAGACAATATTTATTCATATCCATAATAGAAAAAAAAAAGGTGGAGAACGATTTAAAACGGGACACACAATAATTTTGTAGCAATCACTATCGAACTCTCCACATGGACCGATGTGTACATCTATCATGACACATATTTTGTCGGTACCCATACGCAGTGGTTCATAGCCACTGCCTTTAATTGCATAACTCCATTAAATAATTGTGATAATTTATTACGTTTGTGTCCAAAAATTAAATAGATTTTATAACATTTTGCTTCAAATTTCTTCCATTATTCGAATATAATCGATGATCATGTTCTAATTCACAACTATCCTTTTATACTAAAACATATAAACACTGGTCTTATATTAGATTTCGGTTGGATTATTTTCAATTTCATATTTCTTCATTTTGAAAATTAATTATACTGAATTGATTTTTATATAATATTTCGTCCTGATTCCTAAAAAAAATTATTTGGGATTCATTTTTTTTACTTATTTTTAAATTCATTTTATTTTATTTTAAAAAATTATATTCATCGGAATTATTTCGAATAACTATAAAATTATTCATTTAATCTATAAAATGCTATTTGATTTTTTTTAATAACCAAATCCAAAAATCCAACCCTATACAAATCCGCAGAATGTGTCGTATTTATCCAAATATCAAGGAATTTCCAAATCAAGAACGGTTAAGAACTAATATAGATTAGGGTTGTAGGAATTTAATGGAGATAATGTTCCCAATACGATGCCGATATGTAGCTCAACGTCTTTATGTTCTCATTAAAAAAACAAGCCGCAATACAAGCTTCCCCATGTGCACCTCATTCACTTGAAATATACACTCTTGTTTATATATATATATATATATATATAATATTTTAAAAGTGTCACCAAAATCTATTATTTGATTTTAGGATCAGAATTTTAGTCAACAAAATTTAATTCCACCCAAATTTGAATAATTTAACTGGTGAAATAAAACGTAAAATATTTGTTATATCCCGAGTTCGAATCTTAAATTTGGAGAGAAAATATATATTCCAAATTATATTATTGACCATCGATTTAGATATTAGTTTGAATTTTGGTATAGGACACTCGATTACTAAAAAAAACTTCATTCCTTAAAATTTTCTTCCATTCGCATAAAATTTACAACTCTTTTTTGAATTTCTTTCCCATATATATATATATATATATATATATATATATATATATACACACATTACTGAAAAGAGAGAACAAGCAAAAAGCATTATTAAATATCGTTTTAGGCATGAACTTATAATAATAGTAGTAATAATAATAATAATAACAGAGCAGCAAAATAAACAGAGAAATGGGAAGGTTGTCACTTGTCACTGTGGAAACCGTTGATTTTACAATTTTCCTGACGTGTCGCTCATCGGGTGCCAATACAGAACACTGTTCATTCCACTCGTCAATCTCAACCGTTGATTTCCCGTAATAGCCTTACGTGTGTCACATCCAAACCGTTCATTTACATGATTTTTACACATTTTTTAAGAGTTTTGCCTTTTCATTTGATGCAGGGATATAATATTATTCCAAGCCCATGGAACATTTACTCTTTTATGGGCTTTTTAAGGCCCACCTTAATTCTAAATGGGCCTTCTCGCGCCATCAGCTTAAAGTGCCCCTCTTTTCAGCTAAATGGGCCCATATAACATTTACTCTTTTATGGGCTTTATAACACCAATTATTGGTGTTACCGGCATGATTATTTTAATACGTATACATAAAATTAATTTAAAATAAATAATAAATAATGTATTACGATTCAATATAATTTAAAATTGATTTGATATAATTTGTTATAGTTTTCTGGTAATAAAATGCGTATTTTTATCAATTACAATTAAATTCAAATCGAATCCCAATAAACCCGAATAATATAAAAATCGAACTGGAAATAACTGTTTTTTTCTAACAAAAAGGGAAAAAAAATCCAAGCTTCCATCTTATTATCTTTGAAATTGAAACATCATTCATATTAATTATTTATAGAAAAAATCTCATATAAATATCTGAATTTTTAAAAAATTCTACATAAATATCTAAACTATAAAATTTTTATATAAATACCTGAGCTTTTTTAAAATCCTATATAAATATCTAAACTTCTAAAAAACTTTGAAATAAATCCAAAATACGTTAATAGTATCATTTATTTTTATTTAAAAAATACCTGAAATTTATATTTATTTGAATTTTTTTTTAAAAGTCTAGGTATTTATATATGATTTTTAAAAGTTCAGATATTTATATAGAAATTTTATAGTTTAAATATTTATGTAAGATTTTTGTAAAAGTTCAGGTATTTATATGTTATTTTTCCTTATTTGTAATGAATTGTATTACACATTTTCTCTTATCGAAATGTTATTTTTATATTTTTATATTTTTACCGTATATTTTTCTTTCATGCGCGAGTCGACCCGTCTAGCCTGCGATCTAAGTGAGGCGGGCCCATAATGCATATTTCCAGCCGATTTAGAAAACGGGTCGGGCTGACTCCAGCCAAAAAATTGGCAGGTTGATGGCGGCGGGGCAGACCGGGGAAAGCCGTACCAATTTAATTTTCAACTTTAACCTATCTAATTTACTTTTATTGACTAATTAAATATGAGAATATGGCGGCGAGTCAGACCGGTGAAAGCCGTACCAATTTAATTTTCAACTTTAACCTATCTAATTTACTTTTATTGACTAATTAAATATGAGAATTTTATCCCAAAATCATATGACTCAAATGTGATAAATAAAAAAACGAAAGTTATATTCACACCCAACACTAAATAACTTAATTTCCGACTTTAACCTGTATTGACTAACAGGAATCCCAATAAGCCAACTTGTTTTGACCCTTGCGTGTAAGTAATCACATTGTTTGTAAAATATTTCTAATATATATATATATATATATATATATATATATATGAATGGGATCTCTATGTCATTTGTTTGAAATCATTGGGTAAAAGGCAAGGATAAACCTCACGCTTAGCAGCAGGATTACTACTTTTTAAAGCACAATTAAAGAGCATTTAATTCTATATTAATGATTGTAAATGATTATAAATAAATAAATAAATAAATATTTACCACATATGATTAATAGAGAGGGGGCAAATCAAATCATGGTTCATGCCGTTCTTTTTCCTCGTGCCTCCTCGGACATTATCATGACATGCCGTTTCATTTCATGCACACAATTTGTTTTTCTCTTTTCTTCTTCTTCTTCTTCTTTCTCTTCCCTCCCAAACAGATAATTTTCTCGGAAAATCCAGGAGATATTGTAGAAAAAGACGGCAGCCCGTTGAATTATCGTTTGTGTTTTATATTTTTTGACCTATACGTATACTTATACTTACGAATACCTTTGGGAAACAAACCAAGGAGCAAGTCGAGACGAAGACAAAACATGCTCACTTGTTAAATTTTCATGTACATTTTACATTTTCTTATCTATATATTGTTTAGAAAAAATGACATATTAATACACGAAAAAACTTGTAAAAAAATTGGAATAAACACACGAATTTCAAATTTTCCAAATAAATTCACTAAATTTTCTTATATTCTATATAAGAACTTGAATTTTTAAACAGTTACTAAAAACCACCATATTATGGTGATATTTTGATATCTTTAAAAGTTTAGGGTTTCATTTCATAATTATTTTTTGGAATCATTTTAAAATTCATGCTTTATTTTCCTTATTTTTAAAAAATTTAGGATTTTAAAACAGGAGTTAAAAGTTTGTATATTTATTTGGAAAATTTAAAATTCGTATATTTAATCAACAACTACTGAAAAATGGTAAGATTTTTTTTTTGTGTGAAAAAAGTTGTAGATTCACATGTTGGCCAAAACAAAGAAATCACATGAATATGCATGCTTCTACACTCGATCCAAGTCGATAATGTACAATTGTGGTTGTTAATTATTCCACGTTATGGGATCATTATGTTGGAGTAGTGGCAAGCAAGCCGTGACCAACGAAATATTATTTTAATATTCACCAAAATTCCATTAAGCATATAAAAATATTAAGGGTAGTTTTTTTTATTCAATTAAAACTTTATATGATATTATAGTAAGGATTTATTCATTTCACGTCTACAATTTAATCAAAAAATTTCATATTTTTCTGCCTTTCAAGATCATAATTTTTTTTTAAATTTTCAAATCATGACGATTGGTAACTCTTTTTTTCGGGTAATTATTTAGAAAAGCAATTTCATTTACTACAACTCCAACTACACTATTTAATAAGTTTTATCTAAACCAATAAAAAATTTCACATTTAACATAAAAAAAAAAATTCACATCATCTAACAAAGTAACGCTTGGCTGGTCAATTTTTGTTACCAACCTTTGGGATCAGAGATGGACCTTTGGGATTTTTGTTCGATTTTTATTTATTTATTTTTGGATAGAGTTTTTCGTTTTTTGAGAAAACTATATACTGTTTCCGTTAGATTTGAGTTCTATTCGTATTAGTTTTCATCTAAAAAATATCATTTTTCAATTATTATCATATTTAGATGACAGAAAATTTCAAAAAAAAAAAGATTCTCTATTTCAATACCTAAAAATGATATAAAATCATCAATTATTAGTTTTGAATATAAAAATACCATTGATTTTATTTTATATCACATGCAAAAATTTGGTTCGTTTGTAGATATATATATATATATATATATGAACAGAAATCTTGCGGGAAATGGGACATCACAAAAACAAAGAAATTAAGTGTCTTTCTGCGTTTCCTTTTGGCATTTTCCATTTTCAAACGAAAAAAGATAAATGTCTTTCGGCCCTTCATTTTGGCACTTCCAAGGGAAAAAACACAGGGATTGTTCTTATCCCGGATAACATTATCCCGGACAAGGATGGGAAACAATTCTTGTGAGGGATAAAAAAAGGGGCCACACACAAACACTTCCCCTGCATTTTTGACACAAACTTTGCCTTCAACAACAACATATTACAAGCTGTCAAAAACACACAACATATTTCTCTGTTAAAACACAACAGCATAACTCAGTTGGCACCTCTAAGTAAGTTACTGATGATTCCTCACATTTCCGCCATATCCGATCTGAAGAAATCTCCGACCCGTAATTAACTAGCAGGCCACGATGGCACACGAGGCGAGTTTCAAAGGCGGAGAAGCTTCGGGAGCGTTGAAGTTGCTAGCGGCAGTTTCAAGAACCCGCCATGCGGATTCTCGTTTCTCGGCATTTGAAGTTACCCTCTTGCTTTCCTCTTCTAGTTTGTTCTGACATTCGGTAACGAGTTCTTCGTCCATTTCAGACAACATCTTCTTCAGGTTCTGTGTCAGGCTAAGCACGGCTCTGTTCCAGTGGTTTCGGATGTTTTGCTCGAGAGCTGAGAACACGAGAGGCAAGATCAGTTCCCGGTTGTTCGTCACGAGGTTTAGGACGTGTTCGTTGTTCCATAGCAAATGCGCCCTTTCTGCTACCTGAAACTCGTCACAAAAAGCTAAAATCTCAAGTTCTTGATCTCTAGACCATTACAACACCGATCCAGTCACGAAATAGAACTATAATCATATGACCGAGATATCGAAAAATCAGTAGAAGTAGCAGATTGCAGAATTACCTGGTAATGGTAGCTATTGAGGCAGCATCCGATACGTTTAAACAGAGGCACCATGAAGATTTGGAACTCCTCCATGCATGTCATTTCAAGAATCTCTTCCAACTCACTGATAAACATCAACTCCTTCTGGCTATTCGTCACGGGCCAATACTTCAACAGCCCGTTAACGACATCGCCCGTCAACTTCGGATCCTTATCGATAAACTGTACAACACAATGTGTTAACTGTTGATGATACACGCCTACGGATCTCGGCTTGTGCAGAGGGATCAAAGCCCTCCGGAGAAATATCTTGTGCTCTTCCTTCAATGGCAACGCAAACCCGGAAATGATACTCCCAAATATCTCCAACAGTTCAGCTATACCGTTATAGTGCTGGGTCTCAAAGACGAAACGGTATATTATATTGCTGACTGTTTTTCTGATAAAGGGTCGATGAATCATGAACTTTCCGTAAACCCTATGCAGAATTGTCTTCAAGCAGTCTCTCTCCCGAGGGTCATCAGAATCGAAGAGATCGAGCAGTTTCTGAATAAAAGAATGGTCGACATATTTCTTTGCCACCTTTACATCGAGAGAGTTATAACTGACAAACCGGAGGAGAATATCGTACACGATCTGTAAACTCGACCAAGCGGGATCGAAAACCGGCTCATCATCCTCACCTTCACCACCAGTGGAAGAACATCGAATTTTGGGAGGGAAAACCCTAAAGAGATTAGCTGCACACATTCTACAAGTGGCGGCAATGGCTTGCTCGCTGAACTTTGCCAGACCAGACGAAACAAAATCCACGAGCTCGGCAAGAACTTGACGTTTAACGTCTTCCGAGCTCATGCTGTCCACGTCTTGACAGCAGAAGTTCAACTTACTGATGAACAGGTTCTGTCTCTGAGGGCTGGAAATGTCTTTGAAAGACAAAGACGGGTCAACCGAATCCGATCCGCCCATGATGCTGGCCGGAAAAACAGCAGAAGAAACCCTCTTAACGACGCTTAATCTGCTTGTAAGGACGTTTCCTACGTTTGTACATTGAGTGGCAATTCCATGGCTGGAGCTCTGGTTGTTGGAATCAATGCCAGAAGTATGGAACTGGTCTATCCTCGTCGATTTCTTTGGAAGTTTGCTCAAGAACTGCTTCAACATTGTCACACAAAAAAAAAGTCTACCTGCAGCAACAGTAACATTAAGAAACATTACCCAAAAGTTGCAAGATCCGAAATCTGGCACCAGAATGCAGATGTCACTGCCATTTGCGCTATTGTACGCACACCACATGACCCAATTTCAAGATTTCTGTCGGAATCATATCTTCAGCAGCAGAATCTTCATCACGGCACGATTTCAGACAGATGGTTAGAGTATCGATGGAAACAAAGACATGCACATACACTTAAGATAACTCCATGTCTGCACATAGATGTATCGAATTCACAGGTTTTCGATGAGGGGTAAAATCTACACAAAGGGTTTGGAGCTGGGAACAAATTACGGAGTTCCGAACAATTCTGGATCTGGGTATTGACAAAAGCTGGGGAATAAAATCAGATCTTCGGAGAATACTGTTTCAGAGGGACAAAATCTAGATCTTCGTTAGCACTAAAGTCACAAGAACACGAGTTTGTTTGAGGTTAATGGAGCCCAGAAAGACCAACAAAACGCTAATGAATCCAGGCATCAACAAAAGGGCGAAATAGAAACATGAATTCGCACAACAAAATCAAACCTTTCTTTTCCTTCACTTGAGCTCCGAGATCAAGGGCTGGATCTTGAGCAGAGAAGGTAGATCTGAAGGAAGCTCATCTTGCGCTCTCTCTCTCTCTCTCTCTCTCTCTCTCTCTCTCTCTCTCTCTCTCTCTCTCTCTCTGTGAGAGAGTTTGAATGTAATAAAAGGATCTTTGAAAACAAATGCTCAAGATTCATGAGAGATCAAAGTAGGGTTCATCTTCGGAGGAAGAGAAGAAGGAGAGGTGTTGCATTTTCTCAGAATCCCAGGTTTTGAGAGAAACCATAAGCATTTTGCAAACTAAATTTTTTCTTTCTTTTGAGTTTAATAAAAGGAAGGAACACATTCATTCAAAGACTGATAATAAATAAATAAGCTTAATTAATTAATTAATTAATAAAAAAGGACAGAAAGAAGAAGCTCCTCATGTACTATAACAGTCCCAAGTAATTAAAAGTGCTTTGGCTCTGTCTGTTCATGTTTCGGCACCACATATCTGTTTTATTTTTTCTTTTATTTTTTTTTTCCATTTATCTAAAATTGGAACGATCTACCCTTTTTGTTTCGATTTTTTTTTTCATTTTTTGGTCAGAATAATAAAAAAATAGTTTAATAAACATCAGACATAATAATAATAATAATAATAATAATAATTAGTATGAAATCATATCCGATTATATTAATTACATTTGCTTCAATTGAATTGGATATTTCTAATTTAATTTAGTTAAGATTCTAAGTTTTTTTTTCTAATCTATTCAAATCATTTTATCAGATTTTTTAAAATTTTAATAATCAGTACAATATCATCTTTTAAAAAAAAACAGTAAATAAATTTTTATAATTTGGAAAATCTATTTTATCTTTTATTTTAGATTTTTATTTAAGAATGTTTTTATTATAATAATTTAAAAAATTTATTGATTTTATTGTATTTTGAATTATTCAAGTATATGCACCTTTTATTTATGTGACCTGCCTGTAGTGATAAATGTACTACTTTTAAAATAGCAAAGCAGAGATTTCAATTCATTGTACGTGATGGATTTTTTCACGAGAAAAAAAAAACTATTGAATAGCCATTAATTTAATGGAAGTTTTTTTTTGGTGAATGACACAAATTGTACCATATGATTTGGATTATACACTCTTCC